AAAAAAAAAAAAAAAAATTGTATATTCTGGGTTTGGTTGGGATGCTTCCTTTTCAGTGAATAGGTTAGAGAAGAAAATAAAATACATAATTAAAATGTAGCATTTAATATTTTAAACATCAATTAGTTTTAATAATTTTAAGAAACAATTCTAAATAAAAAGTGTCTATACGAATGTATCTTGAAAAAAATATATATTCCTAATACATCATTCAAAGAGTATAATACCGTGGTATGAGTGATGACTACTACTCATATCTCATGATATTCCCTATCCTTTGCCACCTGGTTTCTTCTGCCTTTTCTTTCTTCACAGCTACACAGTTGAATTTGTGCAGTTTCCCTGGTTCCCTAGTGCTCCATCCTACCCTTGTAACAGTGGGGAGAAAATGCCTGAGATTCATGAATTCCACAGCCAGCTATTTTGATATTCTTATGCAAGAAATAAAGAACAGTGTCAGATGTGTGTAGTGCAGAATGTACATTAGCTACTTTTCCATCTGATGTAAGTACTTGTAGAAGTAATGAGGGTAGGTGGCTGTCTCCACCCTGGCATCTCACAGAACTAGGATATACTCCTGTGTCATCTCTACAATCCAGTGTGTCCATCAGAGGTAAACCCTGAACACTAACCTGCATCACTGGACCATGAGGCTGGACTAAACCCTGGGTCCTGTCCTCACTCATTTCTGCCAAGTCACTCTGCAACCTTATCCACTCAACTCTGTACTGCTAAGTAGAATTCTGGAGTACACAAAGCCCTGAGGTTGGGGACACACCTGAATCCAGATGAGGGCATCTCCTTCCAGGCCTGAACTAAGACTCTAACATCTCTCTATAATGTCTGGCAAAAGTTTATTTAAATGCAAACATTTTGAAATCAGTTGCTGGACATTCTAACTCTGAAATAGGCAGTCATTTCCATACACTACTCTTCCTCCTATAGAATTCAATCTTTTGCTACTAAAAGCTCTCTGAATCTTTGTACATTGCTTTATTGCCAAACTTGGAATTCAGAACCTAGTCTGTTCCAGAGCCCTTTCTGATGCTAGAGAATAGGTATGAACATACTTTCGCTTCTCTCCTAGCCTGAGCCTGCCTAGGGAAATTGGAGAAGCTTAACTTAAAAACAATGCTTAAGTGATACCATGTCATTACCAAACAGTATCATTACACAGCAAATGCAGAGTGATTTTTTTTTTAAATGACAGTCTTATTACAGCAAGGTATAAAGCTCAAAAGACAGGTATCCCTTG